TTCTTCTTTGATTCGGGGTATTAAGTCAAACAAACTGAATATATAGTTAGGATGAGTAAGGGTGCTTCTTCCAAAATTGTGAATTTCATGGCTCCTGGGTCAGGGGTTCTGGTGTTAGGACGGGCTTTAATGATTACATTGTAAAAAATGCAATAATTCTTTGAAAATCTCCTCATTTTCTCCTGGGTATTAAAACAATGAACTAAGAGTATAGTTATGATGGTTAGGGTGCCTCTTCCAAAATTGTGAATTTTATGTCCCCTGGGTCAAGGTTCTACTGTTAGGGCAGGGCTCAGGGCAAAGTTAATACAGTATACTCAGGTGACCTATAAGGCCCATGGCCTCTTGTCTTAAATTAGTGTTTAGTTCAGTTTTAAAAATACCATTCAAGATAGTGCAATCAAACTTCATATGTTGATACATACTGATAAGAGCTATTCAACTACATCAACATTTTTTGACCTTGACTTTTCCTTTGACCTTGACCTCACTTTTCTTAAATTAGTGTTTAGCTCAGTTTTAAAGAAACCATTCAAGATATTTTGATCAAACTTCATATGCCGATACATACTGATGAGAGCAGCTATTCAAATGCATGAACATTTTTTGACCTTGACCTTTCCTTTGACCTTGACCTCACTTTTCTTTAATTAGTGTTTAGCTCAGTTTTAAAGTAACCATTCAGGATATTTTGATCAAACTTCATATGCTGATCATATACTGATAAATACTGATGAGAGCTATTCAACTGCATCAGCATTTTTTTACCTTGACCTTTAATTTGACCTTGACTTCACTTTTCTTTAATTAGTGTTTAGCTCAGTTTTAAAGAAATCATTCAGGATAATGTTATCAAACTTCATGTGTTACATATTGATGAGAGCGATTCAACTCCATCACCATTTTTTGACCTTGATCTATCCTTTGACCTTGACCTCACTTTTCTTAAATAAGTGTTAAATTTCATATGCTGATGTACTAGTAATCAATTCAACTGCATCAAACCGTTCACGGTAGCTCAGTCGGTAGAGCGCTCGCTCTGTGATCGGGAGGTAGTGAGTTCGAATCTCGGCCGCGACTGAACTAAGTCGAGAAAAAATGAGTAGCAACTGTTCCTCTGCCATGCGTTTGGCACTTTGAAGTGAAAGCTGCGGGTCCTTCGGATCAGACCTTAAAAACCGAAGCCCCGTGTCACGGCAGCCGTTGGCACGATAAAGATCCTTCACTGCTCAATGGCCCTGAGCCTGAGTGCCGAGTAAAGGTCAAAATTTTGAGCCCTTCACCGGTATATGGTGACGTCTCTATATGAGTGAAAAATTCTCGAATGGGACGTTAAACAACATACAATCAATCAATCAAGCAAGCAAGCAAGCAACTTTTTTGACCTTGACCTTTCGTTTGACCTTGACCTCACTTTTTATAAATTTGTGTTTAATTTAGTTTGTAAGAAAACATTCATAATATTTTTTAAATTTTTATCAAACTTCATATGCTTATACATACTGTTGTAAGCTTTTCAACTGCATCAACATTTTTTGACCTTTCCTTTGACCTTAACTTCATTCATTTTAAATTAGTGTTTAGCTCAGCTTTAAATAAACCATTCAAAATATTTATATCAAACTTTGATATGTCAAACTCTGATATGTGTTTGACCTTGAACTTTCCTGTGATCTTAACCTCACTTTTCTTAAATTTGCATTTTGCTTAGTTTAAAAAAACATTTAAGAAATATTTATGTAAGCTTATGCACTTATAATACATAATTTGGTGTGAATTTATATTCTATAACCAACTTTTTAGATTTCAATTTTAAAGAAACTATTCACGATATTCTCATCAAATTTCATACACTAATACAAATTTTCATGTTGCATTACTAATATACCCTCTGCGGGGCATTCATGTCCTATGGACATATTTCTAGTTTTTCTCAGGAATTATCAAAATCCAAATATTATGCACATAGATTCTAATATATGTACAATTGATCTGCATAATACATAAAAAGTCCTATCTTGAAAGCTGTAGGAGGATTTATTCGGTCAAATGATGTACCATTTTGGCAGTCGCCCACCCCTTTTCTTCATTTCAAAAATCTTATTTTTCCTACGCAAAACCCGGCTAATTGATAATAAAGTAAAGAATTTTACTGAATGAAAAAAAAAAACAAACAAACAAACAAATACATATCCACTTTATTTCTTCTGATAATTGAATTTTAAATGTTGCTGACAATGAGAAGACGTAATCTTAACCTCTTGATCGTAGATGGATTGATTGTTAGTTGCTTTATATCCCTTTCGAGTTTTTTTCTCTCATATGAGACGTCACCATGTACCCGTGAAGGGCTTCAAAAGACCTCTCCTCGGCACTCATGCATTGCCATTTAATAGTGAGGGTTTTTTATTGCGAGACCTCGGTTTTTAAGGCCCCGTGACATCTATTACCGGGCGCTTGGCGAAGAATGGTCACCACTTTTGATTAGATCGTGTTAGGTTTGTTAGGTTAGTAAATAAAAATTATTACAAGCTGTAAGTTGTTATATTGTAATTTTTAGCCCTCCTGAGCTGAAGGCTCAAGTGAGCTTTTCTAATCAAAATTTGTATATTGTCTGTCCTCGTTGCCTTTGCCATCATTTTTGTATTCGTTAACTTTTCTTGCTGCAATCCACGATTGTCATACACTGTGTCCTCCCTCTTTCTATACTGTGCGAGAAAGGATGGGACGGATTAGTGAAGAAGTTATCAGAAGGTGGAAATCTATTGGACATACTGGATTCTTAAACTTTTTTCAAGTCAAAAAAAAAAATAATAATAATAATTATCTTTTGTCATTTTTTTTTTTTTTGGTGAACCTGCATTTTTAGCACATTACTGACAAACTTCAGTACCAAATTCATTTCAAGACCACTACAATCATTTCATTACTCGACAAACTGTGAGAAAAAAAATTGCAGCTTTGAAAACAAATCATAATTGCATTCTTAGTTATAATGGCTTGAGTAAAGGTGTACATTTTACATCTTTCTTCCCCATATACCCATTTCGCTATCATTCCATGTTTTAGGTATTCAAGCAGGACAAAGATAATTTAATTTTACAATTTTTAGCTAACCTCAACAAAATTGGGGGAGCTTATATATACATGTAATACCTTTGTCGTCATCGTCATAGTTTGGGAAAATTTACTGTATAGTAAAATTTTTGGGAGGAAAGTTTGCTACATAGCAATGATTCCGAGATGGGCTTTATTACATAGTAAAATTTGCGGAAATAATTCGATTGATCTAACAACAAGTAATCAAGCTCCTTTGCAGAGCAATGGCACCACTTCTAAACACAAACAGGCAAAAAGTAAGATCTCAATGTCTGGTATCTTCTAACAGTCGTAAAGCATACTAGTAGTAGCTAATTACTATAATGCTAAAAAAAATCTGCAAATCGGTATAACAGCATTTGTACAAAAAAATTGGACAGAGCGTTGAACAGAAGTCCTGCCAGCCTGCAATGAATTTTGTTGCTACCTGATGTTTGGTGCCAAGAAATAAAGGAATTTTTTCCTGATGTTCTTTTGACATGTCTTTCTTGTAAATTATCATTTGGGGGACGGGGGGGGGGTAATTTTGGGGGCTTTAACTTCTATAGCTGTATATGAATTAATGTCAACCAGACCTATTGTAGTGAACAGGATAAAGGGGTATCCCCCGGCCCGACTATAGAAAAAAGTAGTAGCTTAATTTGGAAATAAAAAGAAAATTAATGCAATTTTTTGGCCAAGAATGCCTTTTGAAGACAGGTAAGACTCCCGCCTAAGGATTATAGAGGTTTTTTTTTTTTTTTAGATATAAGCCAGAAACCGTATGTTTATTTGAGATATTAGCCAGAAATAATATGTAAAAATATACATGTTTGTGACCTAAAAACCCTTTTCACTTTCACCTTAGACTCCTTTGCGAACATGTTTTCGTTAAATACAACATTAAAGTAAATCTGATTTTATGCCATAGGAATTTGCGACCTTAATTGGGCCTTGCGTAAGTTAGAAAGAGTAGTCATCACCTAAAAAAGAAATCATTACCTTGAAACCATGAATTATAGTGATCTTGACGTTTGGCCTTTACAACGCAAAATCAGTAGAGGTCTTCTTTAAGTTTTAAGAAGTTATGATATAAAAGGATAGTATTTTCAGAGATATTATATAATCTGGAAATTAAAGTGCACCATTTCTTGATATATGAATTTGTAATTAAAATTATCTTTTTGATCTTTTGACCTAAAGTCAACTGGGGTCTTCTTCAAGTCATAGGAAGTTATGATATAAAATCTTATATTGCAAAAGATAATAGACTTTTAGGGATATATCTTCCGGAAACGAAAGTATTACAGACAGAATGATGAACAGCTAGACAGACTGACAGATTGGACGAGCGGACAGCTAGACGAAAATTAGATCCCTGTTATAGGGAAAAAAGGGGGGCAATTAATAATAATGCATCCTGGCGTAGAAATATTTACTATAAGACAATGAAATACTTTGAAAAATCCTCGTATATTTATCAGTATAAACTATTGCATATATTTGTTCAGCGAATTATTGAGTGGATAAAAGATTTACTTTTACCTACATTTATGGACACGTTTATGGATTTATCATTGCTATAAAGTTTGATTGTGTTACGAAATCTGGTATGTGTTAGTGTATCAGAAAATCTTACCAAGGCTAAATATTGACACATCGACTTTAAAGGAACATTTAATAAAATTGATTCCACTATTACTTCTTATGTAATTTTCTGTGACATATATAAGCGTTTTTAAGTGTGTCTTTGGCGTGTCCTATAAGTAGGAATAATATATGTTTAGTAATCTCGATTAAAGTAACCACTGATCTGCCTCTTCTTCATACAAACACCCCCATTTCTTTGAGTATTGGAATCGCCCGTTCTCAAAATTCGCACAATTATATGCGCGTGAATCGCTCTAAGCAGAGAGTTTTCATATTCAGCAATTAATAATGCATGTTCGAGAACAGATGCGCGTGCAGGATGATGCGCTGGGACCACCTGTTTTCACACGTGCGTGTATCCTCTCAGGGTTGTAAATAATTTGACTCCCGTGGAATTTGTTTAAAATACGCCTATAGAACAGGTAAGTCCGTCTAAGGACGTGGTGCTTTAAATGTTACATTTTTTTTAATATAGAAAGATGATACCTTGTGTTTATGCATCATTCAGTTTTTTGCTGTACTATCTCCCTTACACATGTGTGTTTCTGGTCACTGTAGCTATTTATCATTTTGACAGAGGCTGAAAGGTCGAGGTGAAAGATATTTTTTTTCTCTGGGCAATCGTGAGGTACTTAATACTTCACAGTAAATGTTGCGGCTCTTCACGCCGTGGAATATTTTCCCTCAGCATAGTAAAACGATGACATCAATGTTTACATACATTATTCATAGTTAATCAATTCCTATACCTAAAAGACGCGCGCACTGCTTTAACCTAGAGCTGGGGAGTGTCATAAATTAAGATACTTATACACTGAAGGGCTACCGGCGGTTCACATTCATTAACATGTAAATGTGTTTAATCATGAATGCAATAGAATTTGATCTGTATCAAGGGGTAATTTAACGTGTGTATTCATTACGCAGGTGAGTTAAGGCTAGGTATGGACATTTCTATGCAAATTAACTAATTAAAACGTCTAAGGACTATATCTATTATACAGAAAAAGTTAAAACTTATTGTCTAATACATACTTGGTACCCACGACATGAGATAGCCAGTACACATTATGACGTCATATTATGACGTCATAGTTCTTTACTTCACATGATTATAATGGACATCAACAAAAATGGTTCGGCGCAAGGGCATGCTCTATTTTATTTAACTGAAACATGGTATATTCAGAAGCAAAATATTCCGAAGTTTGTTGGTATTGCTGCACAAAAATCAACAGCTTAGTTGAATAATTTCTATTTGTAAAGTTCTAAGTTGAATAAGGGTAAAAATGTACAGTCCGGTAAAAGTTTCCTCAAATTCCGATCAAATGAGAAAATGCCTAGGATTTGTGCAGCAGTTTTATTAATCTATAGAATATTCTTCTTAGCATTATACAATTTTTATGTAAAAATAAATAGGGTAATCCCTTGCGCCGAAGCTGTTTTGTTGATGTGTTTTATTACCTCCAGTAGGTAAGATCAGTGACGTCATAATATGACGTCATAATGTGCACTGGCTATGACATATCAATGGTACTAAGTATGCATAAGAAAATAAATCAAAACTTTCTCTGAATAATAAATATACCTCTTATGCATTTTTATAAGCTCATTTGCATAGAAACGCCTAAACCTAGCCTTAACTCACATGCGTAAACAGGACGTTTATAACTTCTAGAGACGTGTTCTGCTACAGTTCATGTAAGTAAAGTGTGTTCTACTAACAAACACAGGAAGTTTTATTTTAAAGCTTTGATCAGTAGCCATTGGGCTGTGTGAAGGATGAGAAAAAATTTAAATTATCCCTCCATTTATTTTCTGGCTCATTAAGGACTTGTAAGACGAGGTAGGGTTTTTGATAGATTAAGGGTTGCAGTATAACTCTGACGGATTAAGTTTTGCTTGTTCATGTTGTTTGAAGGACGAAATCAGGACATTTTGAAGACTCTGATTTCATACTGCGCTTTATAAAAGATTTCTACATACACTTGTCATGCGATCAACTGTATACGTTTAATTTTTGATTTGTGACGTGCAGTCAATCCAGCAGCTCTTATAAAAATGATTTTAAGAACTGGTTTTATCTGAAAATGCAGATATAATCGTCAAATAACATCGTAGGAATATATACATGTTTAAATTAAATAATCGCCATCTGGGAATGTAACAGCTAGGAGAGGGGAAGGTGTGGTGACTTTATTGAAGGGGGGGGGGGGGTATACTAACATGTATTTAGTTAGTTTAGGTGACCTTGACTTGATGTCGTGATTTTGCCTTTTGCATATAAATTTAGGAAGTAGCACGTATAGATAAATAAAAGTAGCGTTCAAATACCACATGTAATTTGAATTAAAAGTCTCTCAATAAATATATAGTTGGCAAGACTGTGCAATTAAGATTAAATCCTTATTTAAGATTTTTTAAAAATGTGAAAATGTAACATTATTCTACACAGGAAGGTCAAAAACTGACACAATATCAAAGTTGTGGAAATATCCCCCTTAGACATGTTAGAGCTGAATAAATGTGTCTTAATTTTTTCCTCTACGGCATTGCTATGTTTTGATGTATTTACAGAGTTTAACAAATTGACAACGAACAATGTACAAACCGTTATCCTTGCTATTCAGTAAGAATTCATTATTACTTACAAAACAACAGATTTATAACGAACATCCGTATCCTTATCGTCGCTATTCAGTAAGAACTCAATATAATTTACAATACAACCCATTTATAACGAACACCCAAATACGAGTATCATTATCTTTGCTATTCAGAAAGATTATTTACAGTCCAGCCCATTTTAAACGAACATCCAAAAACTATTATTTTCACTTTTTGATAAGAAATCATATTATTAAGAGTAATTTGTTTAATTTAAACCCCAGAACATTATTTTGATTCAACTCCCTATAAGAGTTAGTTATCTGTGTCTTCGTTTACACAACAAGGTAGGCGCATATCATGCGTGCCGTTGTACAATTGTCTAAATATCTATATCAATGATTACGGTGTTTTGGACTACGTACGTTTTTCTTTAAATCATTTTCTTTACAAACACTGTTTGGTCATATTGGTAACTAAAAAACTTAATATGTAAATATCTTTTTCAGCAAAATATACAAAATTATTCATAAGAATTAAAAGAAATTAAACTTGAAGATGCACTACGAATATAAATTATTCGGCAAAAATATTGCGAATGGCTTTCCAGTTAAGCCCAGAGAACAGTAAAAAAATGATGGGTAAATGAGAAAATACAAATACTGTTTTGGCATAGAGACTGTAAGAGACGGGGGGACGCCGGATTATCATACCCTAAGTATGATCCAAACACAGCGGGGAGGGGCGCGCACCATCTGCCGCGGTTGTTGTGATAATGAGTAATAGTGGAGGCTGTCGACCAAGTAACGTGTTATCAAAGTTGTAACGGTAATCAGAGTTATCTCCACAGCTGTCTGTGATGTAGAGCCTGATTCAGAGTCAGGATCTCAGCGAATCTCTCTCTCTCCCCATCTCTCTCTCTCTCGCTACATTGTATTACTCTCTCTCCATCTCTCTGAAACTTGAAAAGATGAAGATATGCAAACAAAATTCAGTTCGATATTCATGCAATTGTGGAAAGATTTTAATGTATCACGCATGTATGCATTACACTAAGAAAAGAATTTGCATGCAGGAATGGAAGTCAACATTTACATTGATGATTCTGATTTCAGGAAAATTGACCAGAGATTCAAAATGAAACAAATATTGCTAAAACATGTAAAACAGAGTGTGACTCAATTCAAAACACGCTTCCTTTGAAAGCATTTACATAGACTATGGAATGCATTGGTATAGATTTACATAGATATTGTCATGTACACATTTTGATATATATATTTTTTTTTTGGCATGAATACATTTTTAAGTATCAAATTCTAGATTTAGTGAACGACGATACATTTGGAGTTCATAAGAAAAATTAACGACTTTTTCTTAGATCCGCTCCATATTAAACAAATACTTCAAAAGAAGCACCGTTGCAGATGATAATAGAAAGATCAAGACACGTTATCCGTGGGTATCCGTGTTATCGAATTCGTTAGAGGAAATCTTAGGGCAGGCGAGGTTCCTTAACCTCTGACAGGAACTTTTCACGGGGTGATAGCAACTGAGTTAATGATAGATTTTTTAATCACAATAAAGGCTTTCTTAATTAAACAATTATGTCTGGAATGCCTGTATATATACTATAGCTTATAGTGAAACTGTCGTATTTATCATTACCTGGGCCTAGTCGACCTTATCATACATTCTTTGAAATGTTTTTCGCGAAAAGAATCTAAGGAATACAATTAAAGAATGCAACATTTCTCTAATAATGTCGGAATATGTATTTTACCCGTTGCAAAGAAGAAAAATACCACATAGCATTTTTTTTTCTATTTGTCACCCCCCTTCCCCCACCCAGTAACACACATACGCGTACGCGCGCATACAAACAGACAGATTGTTAGGACACCAGATTCTCGAGCCCGATCAGAAAGTCGATTGTTTGGTCAAAGATCGACCTACAGCACAGAAAACCGATTTAGTGAACGGTTTGCATAATCCGCGTATCATTAGATAAGCCGATTTAGACCACTTGATGTCAGACAGCGGTTTATTTGACATTGGACGGTGAATTATAATATAATGGTTTTATAATACAAAGATACATTTCTTTAAGAATCGGAATTAAAAGGCGATCAAAGTAAAAGCGGATTAAAATACGGCGTGAAAATTCTGCAGGGCGCCTCGTATACTGATCCTTAGAATTCCTGGGTATAATTCTAAACTTAACATGTACGTTCATTTCGTTAAAATCTAGAATATGATATGATAAACAAATAAAATATCAAATAAAACACAATCGTATGCCTGGTTATTAAATAGAATCATGCATAATAGAGATGTTCCCCCCTTTTTATGAAAAGTTTACCTTAAGACGATATCTATCAGTTACATGTAATAGTACAGAGTGTATAGATTTATTTTAAAATCAGCTAAGGTTGGAAACAAATTCGTCAAATTTTGCAATCTATAAAAATAACTAAACTTGTCATTTTATATATTAAATGGTATAAAAGATGCATGGTAAATATATTGTGTTTCTTTTATTTACAGAAAGTAAACTTAATCGAACACGTTCGTTGATTTTCATCTGGAGGACATAATGTGTTACGTCATCGTCACATGTCGTTCTTTAGGCTGGACGCTTTTAAGTGTCACTGTTACCTTGGCAACTGTCGCCGCTGTTATCTCGCCTCACTGGATGATCGGAACCCCTCGAGAAACTGCCATAAAATTGCTGAATGCTTCAGAAGATTTTATGGACTCTGAAACTTTCAGACCAACGCTAGGAATATTTAATAGATGTACAAAACTTCAGTTAGACTTCCAAATAGCCAAAGTCAGGGATAATTGTGCCACATTCGTTGTGTCGTTTTCTGCAGCGGACGATTTTTTCCCGCATGCGTGGAAGGCATGTGTGATATTGTTCGGTATTGCCGGAACCCTTCTGCTCTTTTCCATGTTGTGTTCTGTAATGAGTTTGTTTGTCCGATCAATTTGTGGAAAAAGTATATTTACAGTTGCAGGATTTATACAAAGTATTGGAGGTAAATATTTATAGTTACACAAGTCTTGTTCAACCTGAATAAAATCTAAAATCCCTTAGAAACATATTAAATTGGCCTTTTTGTATGATCGATATAATAATTTGGTAGACCAATAATTTCAACAGTCCGCTGACCTTTTTAAGACTGTAATACCTTCAGGGGTTCTTTTAAGACTGATGACATTGGTTACCAGCGCTCTGAAGACTGCAATGAGGGGCAGAGAATCAGTGCTCCACATTTTCTGATTTTTTAATGTAAATAGTTAAGTAAGCCTTTAACAGTGTTTAAAATCATAATTCAAATATTTTAAGTTTTTAATCCCATATTTATAATTTTTTTCAGGTCTATTTTCAGTGATCGCGCTGGTCATATACCCCACTGGTTGGGGCACCAAAAGGGTGCGGGACCTTTGTGGTGAATATGCTGAGCCTTACGTTATAGATAACTGTACAATAGGTGAGTACATGACAGAAAGTACTAGTGCACCTGCACCATAAACAAGTAAACGATGAAAACACTTAACGCAGCTGGGTAATAGCGTGCTCTATTTGAAGGACATAGCATACATGGAAAAATACATTATTTATCTTTAGAGAAGGAAACTTTCAAAATGTATTTAATTTACATGATTTAGCGAATTTATAATCCTTTTAGTATTAACTCCTTGATGTTTAAGATGGTGCTGGTATCGTCCTTCCGATCTGGTGTCTACATATACACGAATTCTTTGAATCATTTTGCAAATATTATAACAGAAATATAATCATACGACATTAAGTTATACATCCTTAAATTAGATGTACATATGTACTAGCAAACATTCGAAATATGAAAATGATATATTATTGTTTAGAATTTGTACGTTTTATTGCAAAATACCGTTGAGGGTCCATGCTTTTCATTATCATACATAATTTCAATTAGAAAATAACAACTTTCACAGTTAAAGAATAAAAACTGGCAAAATAGAATTATTTTTCATTTTATTTGACATATATTTCTTGTAATAAAATAAGTACCCTTGCATGAATAAGATTGAGTCAAAATAAAGACTAAAAATATCAGAACAATTAAGGTTTCTTCGACCCTTTGGTAAGAGAGGCAACTCGTACAGGGACTTATGACTATTACATGTAATTGTCTAGTTAAGGACATACGCAACGTAGTTTGAACTTTATTGTCTTTTTCCCTGGAGTTGAAGAGTTCCAATACTGAAAGGAACTGTGTGCTACATCTAATGTCTATATATGCCGTTGTACACTTCTTCTAAAACATGTTTGGATAAACAAAACATCCAGAATATATGTTTTGTAATTTTTGTATATTTTTCTTTGATTTATACAAGAATCTTCATCAATTGATATCTATTCAAAACCCCTGGTAATGCATGCTGATTTTTTGTCTACGAACATCTGATGGCACTATAATCTTAAATTAAGAATATCTTGAAAAAATATCAGTAGGTAAGGTACGTTGCGTATGTCCTTAAAAGTTATATTTTGTCAAACTTTAACAGGAAGGTAAGCTAAAATGTTTTGCATTTCAATGATTTTTCCTTTCAAATATCATCACTGATGCAGTTTTTTTTTATTTGTCAACAGAGGGATGGTGAACCTCTGTTAAATCTTATATACCAAGTTTGGTGTATTTTTACATAATTTTTTATTATCCAATATTTATTTGTTAAGGTTGGTCTTACTACCTCGGAATTGCGGCCACAGTACTCGTGTTTGTAGCAGCGGTTTTGTCTGTTCCCGCCGACAGATCCACAACAAGCAGGAAAGTAGAGGAGGAAATGCTGGAAGGAAAAAATCTCATTTGTGTATTGTGACATCACTTCCTGAACCCAATATTTGAAACACCTCGGCTTGTTTCTGAAGAAACATTTCCTTTTATTAACTTGTGCGTCCGATTGTTTTGTGCTGATGAAAAATGCTGGTAAATGAGATTAATTATGGCATTTTTTAAAAATACCAATTTCAGGGTTTCAAATATTTCTTTGGTAAAATATGTTAAGATTTTTTGAAGTTTCACTATGAAGCTATTAAAATGGAAATATTTTGCCAAATGAAATAACACAAAGGTGTAAATTTTAATAGAACATGTTCATCTATTGTTGATCTATAATTTGTCAGTCGTAAAGTATACTAACTCTAGTCTCCAAGGATTATATGATATAAAGTTACAAATGAGAAACCAAAGATATGTATGTATATCCGGAATATACGTGTACTCAAAACCGACTACTGAACATCGAGATGATCTGCATGTTCTCTAGTGTTGCCAGCAGGAAAAATACGATTCTTTAACTACTTTAAAAAAAAATCCTCGGCGAAGTTTTTTTTTCTAGTTGCACGTGTGCTTGTGTATTTTTATACCTTTGTAACTTACCCAAAAACGATCAATAAATGCAAGTTGAATTTTGAATCCTGTTTGTACTGAAACTTGCAAAAAATTATGTTAGTACCAAAAATTTTATATAAATACCAAGGGTAAAAAAGGTAATACATATAAGTTGATTGAATTCAGTGAATGAAAGAGTTATGTCTGTACGAGTGTGTTGATATTACGTTTATTAAGAATACTCAGTCCACAATGACAAAGAACGTAGATTAAATAAAACTTATTTATATGGCGATGTCATTGTGTATATATAGGAGGTTTGACTTAACATGGACTGTATTTATTCTCTCTAGAGAAGTGGACAAGCTTTCACCTACATCCAAAGCCTGTCCACTTCTCTATAGAGAATATAGAACAGTTTTTGTATACTTAAGTTATTATGAATTTTGTACTGATCATATATATGTTTTTTCTCCCTGTGTACATATTCTAATGATATGAGTGTTTTTGGTTTGATTGTTCATTTATTTCAATGTGTAATTACAAATCATTAAATAATTGTTAATTTATTCCCTCTTTTTATTTATGTTTTTTTTTACATTTATATGATTTTTTTTCATTTTCACTTCTACCTTCATTTACACAATTTTTTCATTGTTCATTTATCAACTGTTATTCAGAATAAATTATGAGCATGTTTACAATTGATTTAAAAATAAACGTAATTCAAAAAAAGTTTTTTTTTATTCTTTCAGACTGACCCCATATGCAAAGTATGAATACACAACCCTAAAATTACTAAACAAGATAATTATACAGATGTATTAAAAAGTTGGGTCTTGTGTCTCCCATCTTTAATTCAAAAGTGTTGGGGGGATTTCACTGTGATGTTATTCATGTACTAGGACGTACATAACAAATTAGTGACTTGAAGCATTTCCCAGGCTCGCAACATGATAATAAGGCCGTGATGTACAGTGTATCTTATTTAATTCAGCAGGCGTGTTTTGTTGAAAGTTCAAGCAATACTCTTTGAACTGCCACTTGGTTGCAATCAAATGTTCACTGTTTGGAACTCTGATCTATCTTTGGACATTTTGATGCTCAAATATTTTGGTTTCTACTGGTTACTTACCACTTCTCCATGAATGTTGAGTTTCAGAAGACTCGGGTCCATTTTTGCGTTACATATATATATTGTTTTAACACTTTTACGAACACCTGCTAAACTTGACCTTTGAACCTTCAAGGCTGTATCAAGTCTAAGACTGAAATTCACTGCAACTTTTAAGGAAATGTTCATTTCCCTCTAGTCACCTATACCTTATATCTGTTACGAATACGATTGCATGTTTGAGAAGAAATATATGTTCTAATGCATGCAGTGCTAAGAGCATCGGCAAATGTGGCAGAGGCAGTGGTTGTCGCCACAATGATTTTGTCAAAAAATTAATAATAAATATTTTCTTTGTATGAGAATACGAAAACTAAGATAAAGTTTACTAATGGTCTCAGCAAAGTTTTTACATCTATATGTGGTGTTAAGCTAGGTCATATCTTAAGCCCATCTCTCTTTAACATTTTTATCAATGGTACTGTTGATGAACTTAAAACAGACAGTTTTCATCCAGCTGCAGATTTTAGGAATACATTGTAAAACTGCTTGTGCTCCTAGCAGAACAGATTAAGGTAAACGATCCCTGTGGATAAGAATTAAATTTTTCATGTATAAATTTTTGGAACCATCTTATTAATTATTTATAAGAACTCAAAAGCATTTAAAGTCTATATAAAACAACAGTCCACACAAAGTCTATTTTTTTTTTCATTTTCAACAATTTAGGAATTTCATTCATTACTGAAAAGCATAATTTAAAAAAAAAATCACTTCAGAGAAGTATAAAGCAAAGAATATCAGATCAATGCTTACAAGAATAATACGCAAAAAAAAAAAAAAAAATTCTTAATTCACCAAGAACTAAAAATTTATCAATTTATTATTGATAATTCTAAATGCTGTGGATACATTACGGGAAAAAGATGAATCATATATCATCAGGATGAGATTTAGTGTACATAACCTTGCCATAGAGAAAAAGGGAGATACTAATCTATACCAACAGATGACAGATTTTGCAATATTTGTAATACAGATGCAAAGAGAGATTGAAGATGGATTTAAATTGTAATTTAATTAAGGTTTCAATTTTGGCCATATACGATATAATGTATATACTAGTTATATTTTGGTAGTTAAATTAGGAGGGAGAGGGGGTAATGATATTACGATATCTATATTATTCACGTTTCAGGTGCCTGTCACAGTGAAGGGGGGGGGGGGGGGGTGAAAGAGAGTCCTAAATACAAATTTAGTATTTTCAAACAAAATGATATACTTTCAATATGTAGGCCTACAACTAAAATATTTTTCACTGAAAAGAAAACTGGCGAAACTTGTTATGAGTTCTGTCTAGACAGCTTTTCCAGGGACATATACATGTATATGTATACTATGTAGGCCCTAGTTAATAGGTTTCTCAGAATTGCACTTCAATTTCATATTGTTACACTTTAATTTAAAAGAGTTAGTACGCAATAGAAATAAATTTAATTTAAAAGATTTAGTACGCTATAGAAATAAAATATTCATCTATTACTTTGATTTAAAACGAAATAGTATTCGTACGAACTAACATCACAAAGGCAATCCCTCCATCGTACGAGTTGATTTTTCATCATGGCCAGTGTCGGGCGAGGGAGGGGGAGAGGGAGGGGCCTATTGGTCACCAAAGTTGGATCTGCACCTAAGCCTGGACCAGAGGGCGATGTGGGATCGACAAAAGTAAGTGACCATTTAGTCCTTCGGTACACGGTATGTGACTATATCCGAATTTCCTCAGTTACGATTTCTGTATGGAACTGGATTGCCGCGAAAGTTTTAAAGTAGGGGATTTTACTAAAGTGTCGCCTACCCCACTATAAGGTGACGACCAAACACACAGGTATACATGATGAATAAACACGGGTATATACATTAGTGAATAGATAGACTGGTAGGACTGAACTGATGTGGGAAGCGTGCCGACAGGCTTGAGTGGCTACGAGGTTAGGGTGTAAGGTAATAGTGAATATATTTACATTTGCAATTTTACTACATTCCTCCCCGTTTTATTTAGTAAAGCAAATGGCAATTGCTGTAACTTACTTGGAGGAACGCAGGGCGATAAATCTGAATATATCATTTAATATGACCTGGAAAAGATGTGTACCAATTTATGAGCTTGGTCGGAATAATTATGTCATGGCTCTTACAGTAAACCTTCATATCCCCTGTAATGGCTCTAACATAAACTTTCTTATTTCCTATGTAGCTTGTAACATGAGCTTTGATTGGTTACAAAGTCAGGTGTAAATTTTCGTACACCCGACTTGAGCTGGGGGTACAAAACGTGACATCACAATGCATAGTTTCTCTATGATAAAAAGCAGATACATTGTAGGATGTAGTAACTCTTTATCGATAGCTTGAATCACAGTTGATTGGACCTGTTTGCAAGTAATTTATTTGGGTACATAGGAACTAAATTCATTATCCAGGTCCAATCAAGGGTGTACGGGGATTTACCCCGGATTGTATGCCAAACACCCTGAAGCTGAAGGCCGAAGGGTGTGTGGAATAAAACCCGGGGTAAATCCCCATACACCTTTGATTGGACCTGGATAACTAATATTATTTCCTATGTAGCTTGTAACACTTGCTTTAATTGGTTACAAAGTCGGGTGTAAATTTCTGTACACCTGACTTGAGACGGGTTAAAAAACGTGACGTCACAATGCATAGTTTCTCTATGGTAAAAAGCAAATAACGTGACGTCACAATGCATTGTAGGACGTAGTAAATCTTAACAGTTGATTGGACTTGTTTACAAAAAATTTTTTTATGTACATAGGAAATAAATATATTATCCAAATCCAATCAAGGGTGTATGGGGATTTACCCTGGGTTGTATTCCATACACCCTTTGGCCTCAGGGTGTATGGAATAAAACCCTTCGGCCTCAGGGTGTATGGAATAAAACCTGGGGTTAATCCCCGTACACCCTTGATTGGACCTGGATAACTAATAATATCCCCCTATAATGGCTCTTACAGTAAATGTTTATATCCCCCTGCATTCTTGCCAGGTACTTTGGTCTTCCATTTTGACTTTGCAGGAATTCATTTTCTAGGTAAGGAACTTAAGTGAGGAACAAAATTGTAATGCTCAAAAATATGAATGCTGATTAAATAAATGCATATAAATACATATAGAGTGTAAGTTTTTATCTATAGATATTTAATTCAGAATTTTAATTTTGAGTGATAAATCTCAAGTGTCTGATAATAGAAATGTTTTGAAGTGGTTTGATTGCACACACATGTGATATGTACCGGCTGTACACAAAATGTCCCGTATTTTTTACCCCATTCACGGGCTCACGGCGGTACATCAAAATTCAAGGGAAATGAAAATTTGTTCTGTATTACCGGAAACCGCCATTTTTCTTTAATTCTCTCTCTCATAACACAGGAAATCTCGTTTGATGCATGAGTTACAGCACTTGGTTAATGTAAACAAAACATCATCATCGAAGGTGTGAAACATTCCCGTGATAATTACATTGTAATTAAAACGTATCAAATCTTTTTGTTAGGCAGAATATTCTTCCATAAGACTCTTATTAAGGGTTTTTTTTAAATGTAATTAGTCAAAATTTTAACAGTAGAAATTAAAGACGTTTCAAAGAGAAAATGACAAATAATCAGAGCAACTGTGTGACAGCAACATGAAATTTCATCCACTTGGTTCACTTGTTCATTGATTTTAAAATTTATTAATAAAAAATGAACCTCTTACATTGATTTTTGGTCGGTATTTTGTACAGTTTTTGTACAGTTTTTTGATGAACAATGTACAGTATTTTCACCCAAATTCCTGTATTTTGAAGACTCCTGTACAGTATTTGGGTCTAAATATTATCACATGCATGTTTAGAAAATGCCTTGTTTTATATTTTACAGAATGGAGAATCCCCACCAGCAGGGGGCACTGTACAGGAACTTGAGGATTATCTTGAGGGGCTGACCCTCAATCTGACTGAGGACAACCTGGAGGACATCTTGACCTTATCAAAATCAATGTCAACAGAAGACCACGTAATGAATGTGGCTAAGCGGATTTATGACAAGAGTTTGAAAGACCTAGAATTTGCCAAATGTGGAGCGTGTATTTGTGATAGACTGTCTAATGTTGAGGTTCAAACAGCAAAGTTCAGAAATGTTATTCTGCGATATGTGCAAGAGGATTTTAAAGGTACATTGTATTTTATCAGGATATGTGACTTAAAATAGCATATAAGAATTTATCTTGAGTCTATTAAGACAAAAAGGGATGGGAATCCATAGAGTGATACATAAAAAATCATTACAAGGGTACTAATCTTAGTATTTCATTGAAATCATATATTTCTCCATTATATTCCTAATTTTGCATCATAAACATCTTAAAAATGAAAAAAGCCAATCAGAGCCGCTAATGGCGGAAAGTTTAATGTATACTGTCAACATACGGGCAGCCCAAATACTTCAAATGAAGTAATTCACAATAAAATATTAAATAATTTTTGCAACAAGTCAATAGATATGGGGGGTCAGATCCAAGGTTGAAAGGAATAATTAATTCCTTGGCATATTTTATTGTATGAATCATGTCTCCACTTTCCATGGTAGAGAATCCCTCATTTGGGCATTTAGTGAGAATGCTAGCCAGAATAAAACCTTAAAAGAATCTGCACTGAAACTGCAGGAACACATTCAAACTTCAGTGGATAACTTCAATATTTACCATTTAAATATTGCTTTGATATTTGAAGGGATAGGAACTTGAAAGTAATCGATTATTAATCAATTTCATCTTCCAAATGAATCGATTACAGGACAAAATTGAGTGCAATCGATTAATAATCGATTACACAAAATTCCTCTATGTAATCGATTATTAATCGATTACATTTTTCAGTAATCGTGCTCATCCCTGGCCGCTATTGACATAAAGGCAATATATGCACATTTGTTTAACAAGATAATTGGATCTGACATAAAATGGTTAAATTCCTTTCACAATTGGCGCATGAACACTTTATAACACTGCAATCAGAATGTTTTAGCTTCGCATGAGCTCTTTCATATGTTGCACAATGTCTCGCATTTGTTGCATGCTTTATGGTGGTTGCATCAAGTCTCCTCAAAATAGTGGACATATGCACACTATTCAGACGTGACCAAATGCGATCCAAATTATTGTAATACAACGCATGAACATTAGCACGAATGTCTTACAATGTTTTGTGTACTCTCAAGAGTGATGCATGATTTTTAAAGGTCGTAAGATGAATTGCAGCTGTCTATGTATTTGCTTTGTGACCATGAGACTGTTGCTCAATGTGTCTCATGTAATCCTGCAATGTTTTACTACTATCATTGCACGATTTATCAGCTTCAATTTGCCATGCTTTGCCACGAGTACATGTATATATACCCCGTATAAGCATCTCTGTTTCAGACCACAATTGAGTGTCAGAATTGGGCGGTAAATATACCCCCTCTGACTCACATGAGCATTAGTATCATGGAACGCATGATTGCACGAGCACTGCATGTCCAATCGCATTGACGCACATTCAATCGTCCGATCACCTGATTACTCGCGCGATCCTATCGCATTATCTTACAACACTCGCTTTCATTGTACAATAGTTGCATATAGATGCAAGATATATCGCAAGATTTAATGTGTTTGCATCATACAATGGTTGCTTTTGATCGTGCGAATTTTGTACGAATACGTTTTCATATGAGATTATTTTGGAAACAGTTAACGATCAAAATCAAAAAAAAATTTCGGTCAAATAAATATTCTGTCGCTTCTGCTTGTGCACCAATTGTGAAAGGGCCTTTATTTATAACACACAATTAAACCTGGATTTGTGACACAGACAGTTCTAAAGTTGACTTGCTGCTGATAATATATTTTACAGGTAAAGAAGAAATGCGAAGTTCAGACAACAAGCGTTACCTCGGATTTGTCACATTTCTTTGTCAGGTCTTTGGAAATGTTCGACTTACGACAGGGGACACCATGAAGCCATTAGTGGCACCTGTGTTCGAGTGTTTAGAACAAATCTTACAGGACCAAACCTCAACTGAGGATGAGTATGAATGTTTATCATTACAGGTCAGTATCTCAGGTCAATACAAATCAGTATCTCTGGTCTGTACAGGTTAATATCTCATACCATTGCAGTACATGAAGTACATCTATCCCATGTCATAACAGGTTCATATATTCATGTCTATAAAAATCCTCATGTTATCACATATCAGTATCTGTACTCCATAAAGTTAAGTTCCCTTTTTGTTGCAATTGTTTTCTTATTCATTATTTTCTTCAATGAATTTTATGAATTAAGATTTGGTTTTATAAGTAAAGGAGAACCACCTCTTTATTAAGGTCGATTAATCATGATGTACTAGTCAATATAAATACACTGAAACAGTTTATATGTTGATGTATAGCTGCAGTGCATTGGAAAAGACCTTGAACTTCAGGATCAGCCACGCATGTCTGCATTGCTCGATCAAGTGCGAACACGCATCATAAAAGATGGGTATGTCACAGGGCAGATAACAACCCAGATACAATATCATATTAACTGCTATTAAAACAAATTAATTTTGAGATTGATAGTTGTTCGTCTGATAGTGTATCAATGGATTTCAAGAAGAGAATGGAAACTCATATATTTTCAGCAAGAAATGGTGTGGTTTTGTGAATTTTATCAATATTTTTAGTCAATAAAAAGTATATAAAAACACTCAACACATGTAACAGCATATTTTATTATTTCTGATTTACAAAACATTGTTTATTAAAATTGAAACTATGCAAACTTTTGTGAATAATATTTATAATTTTCTATTTTAAAATAAATTTAATGAAGTAATGTGCTGAAAAGGACTTGGCAGTCAAATTCAAATGAATTATTTTCGCAAGATTGCGGAAAAAAAACCTCAAAACAAAAACAAGAAAAGGAATATGTATCAATGTTTTTGCAAGCCTACAAATGATTAAACAAATTTCAAGTAACTAAATAGCACGCATTTTCAATGAAAAATGATTGCATCTTTCCATGCGGATGACATTGAATTTATTTGATGAAATCCTGACTGTTACAGGCTGACAGCTAGAGGGCGCTGTACTCTTCTTGAACTGCTGGAGTGTGGATCACGGGGTTGGAAACCGTTATCCAACGACCTGACTCGATTCTACTGTGACACCATGGTAGAGATATTTGCCACAAGCATCGAGTGACCGCCATTTTACAACCGTACAATTACACCTTGTTACAACAGGAAGAGAGCTTCTGTTAAGTCACGTGGCTGGTATGAATTCAGTGGAACGTGACTGTGTCCTGTCTGCTGAACTTATATCTTTTTAAACATGACATATCAACGTGTTTTGTTTAGATGAAATGGGAAGGCACCAATTGGTATGATTTCCGAGTTTGACCTTATTTTTGTTCATGTGTTCACATGTTTTGCACAGATGTCAAATTTTGAACAGATGGGTCAAATTTTCATGAAATGTTAGTCTTTTACTGCCAGGAAAACTTGTTTATTTTGAGTCTGTTATAATCAAAACATTCTAGTTGTAATGCAGGAAATATTTTTGTAATGATGTCAAACTTCCCTTTGGTAAACAGTATTTTTCTAGGAATTTTTATTGCCATAGAACAAGATTTGATCATTCAGAACACTGATCTCTTTTTGGGTTGAAACTCTTTCATAGGTTATATATAGGATCTTTATATTTGTGATTTGATCCTTCTGTTTTAAGTTGGTTTTTTGCTTCTTAATTAAATTTTGGGAATTCTAATTTCTGAGTATGCAATTTTTGCAGTTTCCTTTGAAATGCAAATAACTAAAGATATGGAATTTAAATTTTTCGATTTTATTTGTGGCAAGTTTAACAGAACCTCAAAAATTACTCAAAAATAGAAATCAAAAGAAAATACCTGTTATGCAGTATATATATGTTCTTTACTGTTAACAGTTTGAAAATTTTTCCTGACAAGGATATAATTTATTGTGTAGAAAGGCATCTAAATTCAATAATTATTTCAAAAATTAAATCATAATTGATTTTTTGTTGCCTTATTTTGATTTCTGCAATACTGAATGTTTACAGTGTTACATGCATCTATCTTGATACTAAGGGAATTGTTGTGTTTCTACTTGGAATATTTTTAGTTATAATCCATTCTATATTAAATATTTTTTAAAGGGCATTATGATAATTTGATATGCAATAACTTTGATAAAAGCATATAGTTTGTCAAATGTTTGAGTTAAACTTTTACATTTTAATCTTAGTATTGTGTCAAATGATATGAGTTCATGAGGATTTACCTCTTTTTGTCACTGTTTTGTCATTCATATTGAATTATGTTTATACTTCTATAATAAGTCCATGATTAGCGGACCTGGGTGTCGCCAAGTGAAATTATGATTGATAAGTACATCTACAAAAGTTCAGGGTAAGAGAATATGTAATTTTTTTGTTGATAATCATTTCTTTTCTCATATTTGTTTTATTTTATTAATTTAAAAAAAAAAAATGGATTTTTCATTCTAAAATGGAAATTTAAAAGAGGATCCCAATATGAAGGCTCACGTTTTTTCTGTAACCTTTTATAACAGAAAAGTTAGCAGCGTTGTCTAAATGGTAACTCAAATGTTACTCTGTCTGGTCAGTTTATCATGAGTGGACAATTTTAACTATTATACTAGTATTCCTAGTCTACTAATGGTACCATTGAAATATGGTAAGATATTGCCGACTCGATTTTAAGCAATATAATGGTTGGTGCAGTTACAATTTCATCTGTGAGAATTTTTTTTTTTTCACAGTAAAACTTAATGTAAACTGATCATTTATTCCATGGAATATCACCTTATTTAGCAACAATACGGTCAGAGATTGTTTAGAAAAATGGAAAATGTTATTTTGGGGATAATATGTTTTGGCACACCATGCAGATTGAACAAATTCATTTACTGCAATATTTTTGATGAAAGATAATGCTAGATTTTTTATTATTAACTTCCACATTTAATAAGGTACCAAATTCTCCAAAGATCAAAGATTTCGATTTTAATTAATCAGTAAACAGGTTTTTTAAATCAGAGTTATGTGAACTTTCAGGGTTTTTTTTTAAATACAACAGTCTCAGTCATAAATATTAAGTTATAAGCAAACGAATATGACTTTTTTAATTCATTTATCCAACAGTTTATAATTTGTACTTCTATAGAATCTGTGCTTTGAATTGATTAGTCTTCATTAACTGACAGTAGAGAAGTGTACTTTTACATTCACCAAAATAATTTGTTGCTTGCCACACAGTGTATAATTGTGCTTCTTTACTCAACAAATGGAGGGGAAAAAGGCATAATGTGAAGCTCTAGTTTGTCAATTTGAACTTGGTTGATGTTTTATATTTTGTACTTTTCACAACTAGAACAAAAAGTCATAAATTTAATTCTTATTTTTTCAATAATAAATTCTTATAAACATACTTCTGAGTTTAGCTTGTTCCTTTCTGTCTTCTAGTTTGAAGAGTGATAAATATTATGTTTGAGGTAGGGCATTAATTAAATCTTGAATTTGACACGAGTATATTAATATTCAAGCCCGCCTTGAATATGTCTGATACTAGAACATTGTAAAGTTTATGTAGTTATTAGCCAAGCTAAGCCGAAGGCTCAAGTGAGCTTTGCTGGTCGAAATTTGCCCGCTGTCTGTCGTCGTCATTGTCATAAACTTTTCACATTTCATCTTCTTCTCCGGAACTAGCTGCAGATCTATAGCTCTCTGGTCTGAAAAAAAAAAAAAAAAAAACTGGATTGACGGCCAGAGAGCTACAGTGCCACCCATTTAAAAAACTGTATATTTATTGTGCACAAAAATGCGCTGTTTTCTCGATTTATTTCTTCGTATATTTACGCTCCCATCTCAAAATTTTACTACTAGTAATCGTGTGTTCCTAGCATATTATTTTACTACTTCCACAATAAAACATTTCCCCAAACCGTTGTTTATAGCCCTACTGGGCCTGAAATTGAGACCATCGAAAATTTCGCCTATTTATACTGCCATATTAGGTGGCAAGATAATTCGGTCCAATGCACTACATGCATGATTTGTACATGCAGTTTTGTTGTGTAAGTAGTAAAAGAATACGCTAGAAACACAGGGTTAGTAATATTTTTAAATATAAAGTGAAAAAAATATCGAGAAACAGCGCACTTTTTTGTGCGCAATAAATATACACTTTCTTCTATGGGTGGCACTGCAGCTCTCTGGTCGTCCATCCCATTTTTTTTCATTCCAGAGAGCTACAGATCTGCACTACTCCAGAACCACTGAGCCAATTTCAACCAATCTTGACACAAAGTATCCTTTTGTGAAGGGGACTCAAGTTTGTTCAAATGAAGGGCCATCCTTAACAAAAAAAAAAAAATACTATGGTAAACTATAGTTAACTATAGTAAATCAAAGTTTCAAAGTTTTTACTAGAGTAAATCAAAGTTCCAAAGTTTTTACTATAGTAAACAATCGTAAATTGAAGTTTCGAAGTTTTTACTTTGATACTATAGTTATTCAACGTTTTACCATAGTAAATCAACGTTTCAAAGTTTTTGCTATAGTATATCAAAGTTTCAAAGTTTATCAGCTTATTAAAGTATCTTAGTAATTTATTGCTTGTTTTACCGTTTTGGGGGATAGGGGTGGGGTAAGGGTTGTATATCTTTTCATTTAAATTTACAAATTAGTTAATTAAATGCAATATTTTCATTAATAAATTAGGAAAATTAATGTTTACTTAAGTTGATGGAGCAGATATTTCGGTTCTAAATGACTCAAATTTCATTTTATAGTGTTTTTTCCCTTTCTCAAAACATGTAAAAATAATCTTACACCACATTAGCATTATATTAAATTCATTCAAATAAATGTTGCTTATTTATCGACGCGAGTGACAACCTCACATTAAAATTCATTTCTTGTTCTTTAATTATGTTTAGGGGAAGGATCGGGTTTGTAATAAGTTCTCTGAAGCTTTTATAAATTATGACCATGAAATATCATAAAATGTCCAGAATGGGATTCAAAATCATAATTCCACGATTCTATTGTTACTCAGAGTTAACACTACGGTAGATCAAATTTTCAAAATTTTTACTTAAGGTAACCAAAGTTTCAAAATTTTCACTATAGTAAATCAAAGTATCAAAGATTCTACTGTAGTAAATCAAAGTTTCAAAGTTTTTGCTATAGTAAATCAAAGTTCTAAAGTTTTTGCTATGGTAAATCAAAGTTCCAAAGTTTTTACTATAGTAAATTAAACTTCCAAAGTTTTTTGTATAGAAAGTCAAAGTTTTTACTTTGATACTATAGTTAACTATAGTAAACTATAGTTTACTATAGTTTTGTTTTGCTAGGGCACTCCCTCTTCCTAGGGGAAATAATTAGGAAATAGTGTAAATTTGGTGGTAACTTTCAAAAAATCTTCTCAGGAACCACTGGGCCAAAAGAGTTGAAACTAATTTGGCAGCTTCTTTACATAGTGTAGATTCAAATTTGTTCAAATCATGACCCCCGGGGGTAAGGAGAGGTCACATTGGGGGGGGGGGGGTAAAGTTAAACGTAAGAACACATAGGAAAAATCTTTGAAAATCTTCTCAAGAACAACAAAACCATGTTTAGTCATATTTATTTGGAAGCATCCTCAGGTAGAGTGGATTCAAATTTATTCAAATCATGACCCCTGGGGGTAGGGTGGGGCCACAATGGGGGATTAAAATGTTTACACAGGAATATATGGGGAAAATTTTTTGCGGCTGTTGATATATTGATAGAACTAGCGACTGTTGAGTTTGCGACTGTGGAAATGGTGATGGAACTGGTGAAAATGTTGATGAAGCTTGCGAATATGTTGATAGAGCTGTCTACTGTGGATAAGTTGGTTCTTCTTTTCAAGGACAGCAAAACCTTGTGTAGTCATATTAATGTGGAAGCATCCTCAGGTACTGTAGATTAAGATTTGTTCAAATGATTTTCGCAAGGACAGCTAAGTCTTGTGTAGCCATATTGATATGGTAGCATGTTAACGTAGTTTAAAAATTAGGTTTGTTCAAATCATGACCCCCGAGGGTAGGGTGGGGTCACAGTGGGAGATAAAAGTTTTACAAAGGAATATTAAGGTAAAATTCTTGAATAATTTTCTTCTCAAGAAAAGCAAAGCCATGATTAGTCATATTAATATGGAAGTGTCCTCATGTAGTGCAGA